GATTTAATCCTTTCTGGTCCCGAAGAAAGGACAAATTATCTTGTCACAAATCCACAGTATATTCCTAGTTTTACAGCTATTTATAGAGTGGAGAACAAGATATGTACAGAGAGAGAATATATTGGTGTCTCAGTTAAATCCAATAAAGAGTGAGAACATGTAGCTTAGGCAAATTAACCCATCAACGAAATTATGGGTTAAGAGGAAATGACAAGTGAGATTACTTCTTGAGAACAACTAGGTTATGATAAAAGATAGTTTTGCATGTTTAGAGTATATATTCTCTCCTTTTACGCATGGCGATGTTGATTTGTCTCCACAAAGCCCTTCGAAAGGAAGGGGGAAAGAAGAAGAGACGTTCTCGTTTAGGTTCTCATTTGTTAAATGAAGGAACCACCTAGAATTAGGTTGGCCCCAATGCTCGCCTAAGTATTTATCAGATGACATGCGAACAAAAGAAAGAATACATCATCAAGTTACTCAGCAATCGTGACTAAGCTCGGCCTTTTGCCATGTGGTAGGGTCAACTTTTGTCTTTCCTAATGACAGCAACAGTCCTGAAGGAGGAAATGGCTGTAAAAACATCCTTCTTGACTTTGATGCATGGTTGAAAGAACGAGTGATAACACGGCAAGCTCAATAACGATGATATTCGCAACAGACATGATCAAGAATCAGTTCAGGATCCGTATATTCAGGAAGATTTACTCTCATTCTTTTCAGAGAGAGAGAGAGAGAGAGAGAGAGAGAGAGAGAGAGAGAGAATTTAACGGCAAGAAAAGCATCTGGTCATTATATTATTTTTAGGAGCGGAGAGACAAAGCTGTTCTGGTCCCTCATATGCTATCACCTCTGGGAATCTCTCTCTTTCTCTCTCAAACAACTGTCAGTCCTGAGTTCTATGATTCCTTTCTGTTATTATTGTATATTAATCTTGCTCAGTTAATATGCTTTGCCCTCGTCCTTGGTCTGCCAAAGTTCCTTCTTTAACTAAACCCAATAAAGCTCCACATACAATATTCACCCTTCACCGGATATAGCCACAAACAGCCTTTTGCTGTACTAAATGGACAAAATGGTTCCTACTGAAATGAGCTCTCCAACAAAAGCAAACAAAAATATTGCACATTTGCGATTGGATGAAAGCATGTACAAAATCCGATTATACGACTGATGTTTAAATATACCCGTCACACATCTGTCGATGACGATGGTGTCATTTTAGATTATGCACTACGAGAGAATAATAACCCAACTAGTTATATGCTTTTCCAAATGTGAACCATAGATTCACTTCTGTGCAATAACTCGAGGCCGGCGTGCATTCATTTTTATGTCACTTTATCATGACATCCGGGATGATATGATATTAGACATCCGGTAATAATCATGTCGGGTGTCATGATGGACTGATGTCAACTAAAATTTCGTACAAGTTCAAAATAATTCCCACAAGTTTTTCTTTTCAACGGTGCAAGACTGCATATGTATTGATCTGTCTTTTTGTGCGTGGGTAGAGAAGAATGCGCATGTTTCCTAAGACTTTTACCATGGAAAAAGTGAACCTCGCAGTAAACATAACCATAGAAAGCAATGGAAAGTGGTTGAAGCAAGCATGCAAGTACTATTACTATCTCCATTTCGACTTTTTCTTCCTTTCGCATTTCATAGAAAAGAAAAAACGGGAGTTTATTTTCCCTTCTGTCCTCAAGAAAAAAATTTATTAATGAAAAGGATGGAGTTGAAAACACATGGAAAAGCTACCACCCACCATGGGTTTCGTGATGAATTAATAATCTCTCTCTCTAGGGCACGCAATACCTTGGAATTATTATTGCTCAAGGCTTGAGAGAGACAGAGAGAGAGAATAAACCCAACAACAGCAATACCCAACAAAGCAATCATCATCATGCCTCGCTCGTCCATGCCTCTGACTCTCCACCGCCATCATCATTACATCCATCAACCTCCTTCTTCATCATCAAACCCAAAGCACAACCCTCAACTTAAATCAGGAGAGATCGAGCAGACGAAGCAAGCAGAAGAAGAAGGGGAGGAGGAGGAGGAGGAGGAGGAGGAAGAAGATGATGCAAGCTCCTGTGGAAAACCCTAGAAAGTGATGCCAAACTGAGAGAGAGAGGGGAGAGATCTGTTGCTTCGGAGGATGATCCATCGTCAAGTAGCAAGCTGCTCTCTGATCTGTAGTATGTTCTCGGGGGAATCAAGCGTCTCGGTCCGATTGTCTTCGTTAAGTTTTTAAGCAGAAAAGTTCATAGAAATCTCTCAGAAGCTTTTCTTTGCCGTTTCTGGTATACGCCAAACAGTTTGTTTCATCTTTTTTATTTTTGGAGAAACCATCTTTTTCTTTCCTGTTCTGGGTTCTTGACTGCTGCGTGGATCATGTAAGCAGTTGAATCTGCGTGTCTGTGGGTGGGTGTGTGTATGTGGGTGCGTGCGTGCGTGCGGTCAGATTTTTGCCGAACATGCTTCCCGATATTCTGGTGAGTTTGAGCTTTATGTCTACATGAGTTATCCACATGTATCTCAGTACAGATCGAACTAGGGTTAGCTTTTACATCACTGGGCAGCACGAAACAGTCAAGTATGTGTGTCGACAATGATCACATTCCGTCCTCGATTTCCAGTGATCTGCGATTGATATAGCTAACTCTTGGCATGCGCATAAGAACATGAGTATGAGATATTAGCTGCTGATTTTTTAGATGCTCTTGAATGACTGGGCTACAGCTGCCTATGTCCTAAAAAAACAAGAAATGAGGATGATTCATCTGTACATACATGAGGAATTATTTCGGAAAGAGTCCCAAACCACAGTCCTGCAATTTTGCAGAAAGTAGGGATGGAGATTTACTTTGGTTGTGCATATCGAAAGTTTTTTTCCTAAAAGTATACGGAGCATCCGCATCGTTTAACTCAATCAATCCCTCGAATTGAGAAAGAGACTTGTTGTATCGAATTGAGAAAAAGACTTGTTCTTAGTTGTATCCATCATTAATAGGTATAGAAGACATTTGCAAGCATTGATCTATCAAAAATTTTGGCATATGGATTTGTAGATACATGCATAAATTGTGGTTTTTTCCACCTGCTAACTTTGCTTGTGAAAATTGGGTCTTTTTTCTAGTGGCGCTGGGCGGTGGTGTGAAAATATTCAGTAAAATTTGCCCTAATATTGAACATTTTCATCATTAGAAGAGCAATTTTCGTTGAGTTATATGCCCACCATTTCCCCTTTTGAGGAGAGTTCTTCTTAGTGAATGTTACTATGCCTTTTTCTGTAAAATTAATCTTGTAAGCTAGACGATTCTATTAGTCAGCTCTCAAAAATTAGATATTTTTTCCTGTGCTAATAGATTTCTAGAAGATTTAGGAAGTATAAAAAAATTGAGTAAGAGGAATCTTAGGGAAATATTAGGTTTCCAATATTGTTTCACCTCCCATCAAAACCAATCACCGCGTGATAATCATTATCAACATTTCTTTTCTTGGAAAAAAAAAACGGAGTATTCAAAATTTAGAACTTGAAAATGCCCAATCATCATACACCACATTTAAGAACTTAGAGCAAAAGATTATATTTATATTTTTTTTCAATTTCATCTTCCCAAATCTTCTCATGTTAGATGGCAAACTCTAAAAATTCAATTAGGTTAAATGGTAGTTGCATTTTGTGGAAAGCAAACGTGTGCTGCTCATTTAATTTTGGGCCATGTAACATACCTTAATTGCATATTATTACATACCTTCGGGTTTTTTTAAGTCTTACATTTTTTTTTTATTTGAAGTGTATCAAAAGAAGACTTACCTTACCACTTAAAAAGTAACAAATAACATAGAACTAAGAATGAAAACTTAACGTAAAGGAATTGACACCTCAATTTCAAGCTTGCTAATCTACCATGTCAAGATTAGTTATAATAGCATAGCTTGGTAAAGAAAAAAAAAGCACCTTAAGAGTGCCTTCTCATAGACCGTGAAAAGCCCACTACCAAATGGCAAAACCCCCAAGAGTTTTGCACAAGTGTACGATGGTTTGAAGTGAATTGAAGTCGTCACATCGAATATTCGAGATGAGTTAAGCGGCTTACAACTCGGTTCCATTGTTTCGAAGGTTAGCTCTTTTGGAACTGGAGTGCTGGGCTCCATGAGCTCTTGGCCTATTTTGAGCGAGTGGATTTCTGTCAATAAACCCACTTAAACCTTTGTATAAATTGTGCACATGATGAAAATCACATCGAATTTGGAGTATATGTAATCTTGCATTACATATCATTAACATATCGTGAAACAATTCAGAATTTGTTTTCCAAAATCTCAGGCACAATATATTTGCCTCTAACTTTAGGTCTAGCTCCATTCCTATGTGAATATTTTTTTCCTTTAAAAATAAATCCACCAATCATTTGCACATCGTTTAATCTATACGTAGAATTTCGACTTCACAACCACCAATCATAGCTCCCGGTGTAGGCGACAGAATTAGGAATAGCTCTTGTCTGGGTCAGGGACGAATTATTCTTTCAATTTTTTAGGCGAGTTGGTTCCCGTCGAAAACGTGTAATCAGTTCACCCAAAGCGACGGGGTATCATCTCCCATATCTTGCATGCCTCGAAGCCTATAGTCACGCGGGAGATTTTTCCACCGTGCTTCGAATTGGAATAATCATCTTTTAATTGTTGTTATTGTTGTTGTTGTTGTTATTTGGGTATTTTGGCTACACATAAGGCCAGGGCATTAAAAAGCTGAGGTGGCATTCGGCGATGGGCCTGAACTGATTTCGGCAAAACTCGGGTGGGCTTATGGGCCCATATGAAAATCGACATGACCTGTTTTGGGCTTTTAGGCCCACGCCCTCCCCTTAATGACGACGGCCAATCAGGTTCGGCCGTGACCGGCCCAATTGACACAGCCCAGTGACGGAACCGTTGTTGCTTGCTTCGCGGGTGCTGAAAGAATAACTGAACTGCCCCTGTTTCGGCTGGCAAAAGTCGTCTTCCCCCCCATCCGTGCGGAGTCGTCGCCGCCGAGTCAATGCGGAGGCAGCGCTCGAAGAAAAGCTCACCCCCTCATCCTCCTCCTCCTTCCCAAACCTCCGATTCCGAGCTCCTCCGATCTCCGATCGCCGTCCTCGCCGCGCGGATTAGGGTTCCGATCGGCGAACCCGGCGTGGTCCGATTGGTTTGCAGCGGCTCCGCGCCTCCGATGATTTGAGCTCCGGGCTGGAAGGGCGTGAGACATGTCGAGGCCTCAGGTCACGATCACTCTCGGTCGTTCTGGTCAGGTATTTTGTCGCTTCAGCTCTGTGCATGTGATGCATTGTGTTCTTGGCGTCTTCATATAAGGTCTTCGGATCAATTTTGATGTCTGTTTCGGCTGGGCTTCTCGACTCGTTGGTTCGTGGATTCCGCGGTAGCTTAAGTTTCATGGTTTGGACCTGTATCGACTGTGATCATGTATGGTTTTTGTTCGATTGATTATGATTAGGCGGGAGGATGAGATGCTTTTCTGGAGAAATATGATTTTGATTCAGTGATCAATTGAACCCCGAGGGAGGCTCTACCGTTAGATAAATGAGCTTGATTTTGTATTTTAAGCATGCCATAAGTGCCTCATCTGAAATGATATTGAGCATTGTATAGTATAATGCTTGCTCTCAACCAACTATGACTAGGCTTTAGATAAAGTTTTTTTTTTTTCTGCAGAAAGGTCATTGAATTAGTAGCTACTTGAAGCTTGAGGGATTGTTTAGTGCCAATTGGCTTACCAATTTGTATGTGCGATCCTTTTGTCAGGTAGTTAAGAGGGCTGGGAATGCATTGAACGATTCTCGAGCAGCGCCTCTTCCGAAATCTGGTAGAAAGCGCTCTGTAAAGGAGAGACTTGGCGGAAAAGCTGATAATTTTTTGGATGGAAGTGTCAAGAGGTTAGTTATCTATCTACCTTTCAATTCATTCCTTGCTTTCCGAAGCTTAGGTTCACTAATGTGAAATTTGGCAATAAAGATGGGGCTGTGAGGTTTTCCTTTCCCAAGGCCTTATTTGATTGGATTGTCTATAGAGAGATATATCTATTTGATTAGTTAGAGAACTAATTGAGAGGTCCTCATTGTACTTCGTTGATGCTTCACCATGACGGGTTTTATTTTCGTTATTGGTAAAAAAAATGTCGAGAAAGTGAGCAGTAAGGGCAAGGCTGATGAAACAAGCTACTTTCAGTTTGCTTCTTTGCATTCCATTATGGCATATTCACTACCAGTTGGGTGAAACTAGTTTCATTTTGTGTTTGCATGTCATATAAACTTTTTTATGTGAGAAAAGATCTACTCTGCCAATGATTTTTATTTTTGGTAAAGAGGATCTCAATCCCCACAAAAAATTAAGAACTGGGACTAGAACATTTAGTTTCCTTGTGAAAGCTGAGCGGGGTCTGAAGTAAGTCTTTGATATGTTGCAGACGGAGGGCCGAGAACGATTTTAAGAGCTTGAATGGTAGGCCTCGATATTACTCATTCTTGATTTGGATAAATAATTGGAAGGTTAACTTTATGAATTTGTCTTCCTTTCTTTCCCTCTTAGAGAAGATATATCTCTGCTACTGACTGTCATACCTCTACTATCACCAAAGGTGCTGGAGACCTTCGCATCAAGCTCATGCGAAAGAACAAGACCAGGCAGGCTAGTGGCAATGTTGGAGAGCAAGATCACATAAATCCCCCCGTTAATATTCCTAGGACTGTCCATTCTCCTATGAGCTCATATACAGTGCAACATACGCTTGAGCCGCTTGATAGCCCTTTGAGGCGAATTCCACCAACAAGAAGTGCTGAAGATTTACTCGAGCTGAACTCAATGCGAAAATCTTATTCTCCTTGGACTCATGATGGGTTACAACATGGATCGCCAGATAGAATATTCAGGGTTTCAAGGGGCCTTTCTCCACCAAGGCCAATCAATGGCCAGCGAGAATTGCTCACGTATAGGCCGATTGATGTGCCGAGAGTTCCTACACAGGTTTTAAGAGATGTCTACGATCATGGAGTTGCAGGGCCACGCTCCTCTTCACATTTTGTGACAAGAACACCTTTGCCTCTAGATTCTGCTAGGTCTCTGCCGCGATTGCATACACAAGGCGCCATCTCACATAGAAGTGTATATGCGGTACAGTTAAATTGTCCGTGCTTGAGTTGTCTGTTCCGCATCATAGGGCTGCGATATTACGCTTCAGTGTGTTCAGGCGTTTATTATCGTAGCCCTGACATTGTGCTAGATGGGAGTCTTTAATGGAGCACATACATGCATGAGCAAATCAGAGCAGCTGAGATTGTTTTCATCATTTAGTCAGTGACTTTGGAGTTTGCATACCTATATGTCTATCTGCAAACTAGGCATTGCAAACACAACCACTACAGACTCAATGGTTGAACTGAAACAATTCCCAAACCTAAAAGTGGAAATCTACCCGAACTTGTAAAAAGAAGGCCTCCAACATTGTTAAATTACAACAGCCGATAAGACTTTGACGTTGGGATATTTTAATGTCTCACCATCTTGAAAACCCCGATTCATTTGTCAGAAACCAGTTGTTTTAATCCAACTATCTACTACGTATTGTTTTTGGTGGAGGAGCTGAGGTTCAGTCCTTGATTAACTTCATTTCTTTGAGACAGTTTTTAGTTTTACAGCTTTAAAAGTTTGTGTGCGTTTGCTATGACATAGTAAGTATCTTGTGTCAGAGTATGCCCTTCAACGCTAGTCTTTTTTCCTCGCTTTGGTGCATCATGCCTTTTAGCACTATTTACTTATCATTTGTTCGATTGGCTTTATGCAGGTACAGGGACCACTTACCGTTGGGGCTTTTTTAAATTCTCTTGGCTTGGGAAAGTATGCCATTCATTTTCAGGCTGAGGAAGTAAGTAATTTGCATCTTGTGCACAACAAACTTAAGAAAACATGTCAAAGTATGCCATTTATTTTCCGCTGGTTCGCTGGCTGCATAGACGTTTCCATTATCGATGTGTAAGCTATTACAGACTTGAATAATCTACTGCTGAAAAAAAAAACCAGGCTAAAGTTTCCAGTTGATTTTGGTAAATATCATGGGGAAGAAGTTTTCCTGTTTCTCCTGAGCTATTGTAACAACTGGACCCCTGTCAGATAAACGTAGAAAATGATTTGTTGCTACTGGTGCCTCATGTGATGTGTAGCTTCTTTTTCCTTATTTATTTCTTTTCTTCAGTTACAAATAGCTATTAATCAAGCCTTATGTGGCTGCATGTTGTAGCCTAAAACTAGAATTTACGGCGGTCATTTGCACTAGCCATATGTAATTATTCTCACGCTTAATTTCCTGGTTAGTGAAGTTTGACCACCACTAGACATGCAGATACAAACCCATTGCACATATGCACAATCCCTTTTGACCTGTTATGAGATGTCTATTCCCACTTTGCTGCTTCTTCAATGTCAATGCAGCAGCAGACAAAGCTGTTCATGTAATTGGTTCCAGAGATTGTGCCTTGTGAAGTTTACATAACTTAGCTGAACCTGATATGCTATTGGCACATAACCTTATGAAACTTTGTAACCTGAGCCGAAATTTTGCAATTTGGATGTACCTGTTATGCTGGATCGCTCCTGACCCTAGAAGTGGTTCTGAATGGCAGGTTGATATGGATGTACTGAAGCAGATGCGGGACCATGACCTCAAAGAGATGGGCATACCGATGGTATGTTTGACTTAGACTGTAAAACTTAGATTTGTAAGTTTTGTGATGATCCACAAACTGAGCAATGCAAGATGTAGCAACGCAAGTCATCATGATATTATCTCATGGTGGTGGTGGCTAAAAGCCAATAGAAAGGGTTTAAAAAACGAAGGTTTCCCGATCGTTTCCGTCGTCATATTTTCTTAGCATTATGTATGCATATAAGCCATGGTGCTGGTTGTCCTGGTGATCAAGTGAGCTGAAAACCAGTTTTTCCTGGTGTAACTTGGATGGACATGGTCATTATACCGCCAGATCCTAATTAGGTAAAAAACACATAAATAAACTCTACGATCAAGCAACTGAATGATTCCATGTATTTATCTTCTGCTTGTGTTGCCCCTAGAATGAATGGCTGGTGTCTGTTTCGAGCATGGAGAGTTAAACTGCATATGCGCTTCTGCATCTTAATAAGCTCCCAGTTCTCATAATCTGTGTTTTTACTTGCAGGGACCGAGGAGAAAGATTCTTCTTGCTCTCTTGTCTCGTTCAAGACGCGTATAGAAATTTGATGCTTTTACTTCTTTTGGTATCTTTTTCTATTTATTTTTCCTTTTTCTCCTGCGTTTCCTTCTTATCGGGTGGAGAGAGAGGGAGACAGTGTCGTGAAGAGGAAGACCAGTTGATGGTTGGTGCGGGTAATCCATTGTTGTATTATCTTTTGGATGCCATTCCGAATTCTGTCCATTGAATAAATACCATAGGCTTGTTTGTATGTTGGACATATATCCAGCTATTAGGCTCTGTGAACAAATGTGATGCTTCCCCCCTAAATCTGTTCTAATTAGTAAACGGAGCTTTTGAGTTACATGACATATGTTGTTTACCTTCCAATTGCTTATCATATCCCAACCCCGAAATCACGCCTAAACACGGCGATGCCTGACGTGAGAAAGATACACAATAGTGCAAGTCCTCTGCCAACTCTTGTTTGCCTTGTCTGTGAGCTGGAGGGTCTGTCTGTGTCATACTTTTTAAGATTGGTGCCGTATCGTGAATGCTCTCCAAATTTTCTACTTGGAGCAGATAGTGGAATCGACACTCGTGCTGAACTGGGTGTGTGAATGATGATCGTGTTACTTCGAAATGTCTTTCTTTCAACTTTCATTCATCCCTTGGAAACGTGGAGGGGTGGTGGTTTACTAGCCACGAGCTAAGAACTGCCTGATGAGTCGTGGAAGCAACAAAAAGGAGCTTCCACTTCTGGGGGCCCCTCTCTCTCTCTCTGAGTGGGGCTTGCGCACCATGAAAAATATGGCGAGTGCCATCACTCTTGACCTAGAAGCTCAAAAGGGGTAGCATCGTTTTTCACGGGGTTTTCATTATTGGTGAGAATACCGTATAAACCCTATGAATCGGATGATATATCAGTCGTCTCTCTATGTGCGCATTCTATCTTCACTTAATTTAGTTCAGCAAATTTTTGAGAAATGTGATGGAGATGCTTTTTCTTAAATACCAGCAGAGGAAATTTTTCGAAAAAACTTATTTTCGTTTGCCAAGCAATTTGGGACGTTGACTCTAGGCCTCTAGCTTCATCAGCTCGATGGTGCATTTGACTAAGAGTTTCCTCGAGCCGGGCGAGTCTTCGATTCATGTTGGAAAGGACATCACTTTTGTTCGTGCGGGGGGTGGGACACAGTTGACTTTGAAAGTTGACAACGGTGGACTCGAGCTTGACCTTTGACTCATCGGGTTCGGACCTGTACGATGAACGCATTATTTTACCGACAATGTGGAAGAAAGGTGCCGTGAAGGGGGAAAGACTCGAGAGCCATTGCCCATTGGATGTTTGCTCTAACTATTGCTCCCAAGGATCATCAGTATGGCTGGTTCATTGGGACGATGATGGGAACCACACGATCGATGATCTCCAGGGAGAGGATTTTCGCCATCTCAGCTTCGGTATTCCCCATCGAGCCTAAGACCATTCTTTCGTCGGGACCTTCGTAAGATCTTATCGGTAAAAGATTGATTTCACATGAAATGCCGTTAAAAGCTTGTACGCAATATGCACACTAATTCCCGCATGAGAGGAAAACCCGATTCTATGCGAATACTGATCGATACCATTTTTTCAATTATCATTTTTCCTGGGGTAATCATTTTGAAAAACGTCCCGCACGAAGCGAATTATACCGGAAAGAAGAGAGCAAACAATTCCCTACGCCCATGTTGGAAAGAAATAACAAAGTATTTCATACTTTTGTCCCCACCATCTATTGGACTATTTGAATATGGGCAGTATCGGTTTCCCAACGAATAGCGATGTTGATCAGTAGGGAAAGACTAGCGGTTAGGCGTAGGTGTCATCAAATGGGAATAGAACGAGAATTAATCAGTAGTTGTAGTAAAGACAAACTTAATCCCTGTCCTAGCACTTAAGCAGGCCTAGCATTATTTCGTAGGATGATTTTGTCGTGTCCAATCAAATGTTAGAAAGACAAGGAGACATTGTTGGTTGAACATCCCGATCATGATGAACAGAAACTTATAAAAACCACGAATATAGGCACGGGCGAAGCGGCTGAAGGAGTGCCGTCGCACCTTCTACGAGGTTTTACCTGTTTCCGAAGGAGTTTGTTGCAATTAATTTCCATCAACCTCTAATCTTTAATTACGTCAAAAAAATCTTAAATTCATTACATTAATACCAATTCAATTCTAAATCTTTTCACGGTTTACTAATTGTGTCCATCAGACCAATTTAGATCGGAAATTACTGGATGTTGATGCCGATTATTCTATATGGCACGACTGACGTTAATGCGGACATTTTTTATAATTTTTTTCTTTTTTTCCTTTCTTTTCTTCCATGGCAGGCAAAGCCGACCCTTGCCGGGCTAGTGCGGCCTCGCTGGCACTTGCCCCGCTTGTGGCGGAGAGGATGACCCTCACTCAGGCGAGGCCAGCCCTTGTCAGCCTAGCACAGGCCGTAGAAGAAAAATAAAAGAAAAACCTTATAATAAAAATGTCAACATTAGCATCAGTCGTGCCGCGTAGGACAGTTGGCGTCCACGTTAGCAATTTCCGGCCTAAATTGGTTGGATTGACTCAATTGACAAAACGTGAAAATGTTAGGATTAAATTTGTCCAATTGAAAGGTTGAGGACCAATGCAATATGCTTAGAATTTTCTTTTTTTTGGGTACTTTTCCCTCCTATTATCTTGAATAATGATTGATGCAAGAAGCATCGACTTTATTTAGCGTTAGTTAGTCGATTGAATCTCTTATCTAGAAAACATAAATTTATCTTTTATAGAAAATGCTAAAGACTATGCTTAGACTCTTATTATAATTTATTAAATACACTTTGCCATATGAATTATTAGGAGTTATCGGTTCCCGGTCCAATGCGGTCCCATCCCGGAACCGGGAGGACCAGTTCCTAGTTTCTGGGATTGGGGATTGGACCGGCTGGTGTTGGGACCGGGAACTGAATCGGAACGCCGGTCCGGTTCGGTTCCAATTGAACCAATCACTTATTGTCATTACATTGAATAAAAATAAGTATTTAGAACCCACCCATGGATAGCTCAGTTGGTTAGGGCGTACTTGGGATTGTGTGGTTAGGCGTACTGGTCCCAGGTTCGATTCCCCAGCTGAGCACTTGTGATTTAAGTGGGGGGCCATGGCGGTGGGTTGCTGTGCTAGTCTCCCCGGAGGAATAGTCGATGTGCGCGCAAGCTGGCCCGGACACCTCAATTACCCAAAAAAAAAAGTATTTAGAGTAAAAATTCTAGTCACAATTTGGGACACTTTTTTGCTCTTAGAAGATTATTGGTCCCGCTTTATAAAATTATGGTCTGGGCATCCCCCCCATCAGGGCCATTACCACACTCCACACTTTCCCCCCCAGTCGAGATATTGCCTAGTGTCAGGTTTCTTCAACCAAGAGGAAGTCAGACATTACATTTGAGTAACCATGTATAAAGCCAAATTCATCTCATGAATAATCTGTGCCTTTTACCACGTGTAACTGCATCAGAGTCCACAGAACAATCCATCTCATTGGATTCCAAGCAAAGACATCGAGTTGTCGACGTCGAGCGAGGCCGTGAGAGGGAAAGACATTCGAGCAAGCGAGGGGTTAGGCAAGAGGGAAAGGCAAGAGCATTGAGAGGGAAAGGCGAGAGCATTGGGAGGGAATTGAGGAAATTGGAAAGGTAGATTAAGGTTTCAATTTCTGCTTTCTTCAAAAATTTAAAAAAAGTTAAAAATGTATATTCGGTCCGGTCCGGTCGGTCCGGTCCGGTCGGTCCGGTTCTCACCTTGGAATCAGGAACTGGACCGCTTGGACACCGGTTCCACTTTTAAGATCCGGGAACCGTACCGACACTTTCAGGAACATGATCAAACTGGCCGGTTTGGTCCGGTTTGGACAGTTCTCGATTTAGGCGGTCTATCTTGCTCACCCCTATGTATTATCATTTTGTTTCTATCTAAAGTGGGTAGATCATATTATAAATATTTATACTTTGTGAACTTCCAAAATATCTCCAAGAACGTTGTGGTTACTCCAATCTAACTATTGCCTCGAAATATTCGTCATGAATTACGTGATTTTATATATATTTCTTGATCAATTGATGCATGTAACTAAAGTTAATGCTGCAAACCCAGGAAAATAACAGGACCGACTGGTAATTAACGGCCCAACCTGTCCTTCTTAAATAATCCTAAGAAAGAAATAGAAAGAAGGATTAACGCCAAAAAAAAAATATTTAAACTGATACGGTTGTGACAAATTTATCTCGAACTAATTTTTTTACCACTAAAAATTTCAAACCGATACACTTGTGATAAATTTACCCCAAACTAATTTATCCTCAGTTAAATTGGATTACTACCACGAACAATCACAAATGGATAAACTCGTGACAAACGGAGGGGTGAAACTCAAACTGGTACACGCATCAATTGTCACGTATCATTCAACTCAGCAACTTGACGGTAAAATTTTACAAAAACTAACAAAGGATAAATCTGTGACGGGTGTATCAGTTTAGATTTTAATTTGAGGTAAATTTATCACAATTGTACTGATTTTGCAGTACTAATCCAAGAAAGAAAAAGAAAAAGCTAACTAACGAACGATGAAGAAGAAGAAGAAGAAGAACTGCCACCACTTCACGTCGGTCTTTATCTCCTGACGACAATGTCAAATGTCGAATGATAGACAAAGCAAAGCCGCCATTACAGCCCCGCACGCCCTCTCTCTCTCTCTCTCTTCATTTCATCCCCTCTCGATAAACCACGAGCACCACCCGAAGCACGCCTTCCGTTCCTCTTCATATCTTCCCAAAGCTTGATGACGACCCTCTCGATCCGCCGATCCTTCGAAGACCCCATGTTCATCCTTTACAGTAACGCTTGACACCCCACTTCGTCTTCTCGAATTCGACAGCCGAGCTCGAGCTTCTGGGAGATGGGCGGCAATGGCAAGTACAAGTGGCGGCTCTCGTTCTCTCGCTCGGCTTCCCCTTCGAAGCCCGATCCCCCGAAGGAGTTCCTGTGCTCCATCGCGGGCTCCCTGATGGCGGACCCCGTGGTCGTGTCCTCCGGTCAGACCTTCGACCGCGTCTCCGTCCAGGTGTGCCGGGACCTGAGCTTCGCGCCGGTTCTTGAAAATGGGTCGGAGCCCGACTTCGAGACGTTCTTCCCCAACTTGGCTATCAAGTCAACAATCCTCCGCTGGTGCGAGAAGTGGGGCGTCGAGCGCCCGCTCGCGCTGGATTACACCGCCGTGGAGAAGGCCGTCCGTGCGAAGATGGCGGCCCGGCAGCAAGAGGAAGGTGATGGCGGGGGGCTTATCAGGGTTTCGGAGAGGGAGCTGCTGAAGAACGTGGCGGGGAACCCGCCGTTGACGTACAAGCACGCGGCGAGCGAGTTGACTCGCCGGGTTGACCGGTTCTGCTCGAGCTCGTCGGAGGAGTCGGTGGTCATTGCGGCCAGCCCAGAGACTCCTCTGCCTCTCAAGACTCGCCCCTGTTGCTATTCCTCCTCCTCCTCCTCGTCCTCGGAATTTCAAGAAATCGAAAACCCTACGCAAACCCTAGCCCCGATTTTAAGCTCTCAAGAAGAGGAATTGTTGTTGAAGCTGAAGAGCAGCGACATCTTCGAGCAAGAACAGGCGGTTATTTCGCTGAGAAAGATCACTAGAACACAGGAACATAGGAGGTCCGCTCTTTGTACTCCAAGAGTGATCTCTGCCCTTAAGCCGCTTCTTGTTTCCAAGTACTGCAATGTACAGGTGAATGCTGTGGCTACGCTGGTCAATTTATCACTCGAGAATTCGAACAAGGTGAGATTTGTGAGGTCTGGTGTCGTCCCTCTTTTGATTGAGGTGTTGCAGGGCGGGTTTAATGAAGCCCAAGATCATGCTGCTGGTGCTCTATTTAGCTTGGCCATAGAGGAAGATAACAGGATGGCTATTGGGGCTTTAGGTGCTTTGCCGGCATTGTTAAATGCTTTGAGATCTGATAGCGAGCGAGCTAGGCATGATTCTGCTCTCGCTCTGTATAATTTGACTCTGGTTAATAGTAATAAGATGAAGTTAGTGAAGCTGAATTCCGTGCCGCGGCTGCTGGAAATGGTGAAAGCAGGAAATTTGGTGAGCCGGGTATTGCTTATCCTCTGCAATTTGGCTGCTTGTGTCGAGGGAAGGTCAGCTATGCTCGATGGTAATGCGGTTAGAGTTTTGGTTGGGCTTTTGAGAGGGAACGAGGCAAAGTCCGAGTTGGATAAGGAAAACTGTGTGGGCGCGCTTTATGCATTGAGTCATGGGAATTTTAGGTTTAGAGGGTTGATGAAAGAAGCGAGGGGAGAGGATGTATTGAGGGAGATCGAGAAGAGAGGGAGCGAGAGGGCGAGAGATAAGGCTAAGAGGTTGTTGGAGATGGTGAGAGAGAGGGATAATGGGGAGGAAGAGAATATGGCCTGGGAGGCGCTCCTGGAGTCTGCTCAACTTAGTGGAACTAGCTGCAGAGTTGGTGGGAGGAACGTCTATAGTGCAAATTCATCAGATTTCTGATTTTTGATCCTATGATCTATGTTATCTCTGAATTTCATGATGTGGATACGGTAATGACTGGTGTTAATGAAGGCCTGAGGGAGGAAATTCGGCGGCGATTGAGAAAATGATGTTGAAAAGGTATGGTGGTGATGAGCAGGCGAATCTACAGCATAAACGATCCCAGACTTTTACTCCTCATCGTGTGCATAATATTTTGGATCATGGCAATCTTAACTGGCATCCCTTTGCGCAATTGGTGGCTCGGGCTATGGACAGAGAGAAACCAGTGCCAAGCTTCTTTGGTTGGGGGAAAAACTATCGGTTTTGATGATTGTTCGTATTAGAATTGGAGGCAAGAAAAGTCACAATATCGGGATCCTGGCAAAGAACAATGCAGTGCATTTTCCTTTGTAATTTAACACACAGACGGCATAATTATCAAAAGGGGTCAAATGTATAATGATATTCTGCACATTTGTCTTGTCCATGTGTATTCTGCTTACGTTGTTGTTTATGGTGTTGTATCTGTGTAGTTGTACATAGAAAGGAAGAGTGATTTTGAAGAGCTTGTTGAGCTTACCTTTCCTTACTATTTTCACCAAGTTTATCTTACTGTTCTGTGCTAAGAGCCGTTTGACTCTTTCTTCTGTTGTTTTTTTTTTTTTTTTCATTTACCATTTCATGGCCCCTGTTTAAGTAAGCATGATGATGGCTGTTTTCTTATACATGCCAGCGCATTGGTTGTTGATTGTCCAAGTTGACCGAAGACTCGGTGTGACCTGCAAGTTGGAGATGGTGGTGTGAACAGATGGTGATGGGGTTGGACTGTCATTATATATTGTGGGACACTAAAAACTGCAAAACTATTACTAGTCAGCTGTCCCTTTGTGATTAATGCTGGCATTGAGTGCGACAGTATTCTTGCCTGCTTTTGCTCTCTGTTCCTTCTCCCCAACCTGCTCCAGATGCATCTTGATGATGTTATATAGAAAGCTTGCTTCGATTGCAATTTCCCAACATTCTTTTTTCGCTTCTGCCGAGCAGAGTCTTATTCTTTAGTCTCAGCAAGTTATGCATTGTATTAAGCTTTTGGCGTTTTCATGCCTCAGTTGTGGGCATTGGTGTTGAAGCATGTTGACCGCAAATCTAACATAGCAGACTAAGCCCTCCTATTGGTACTTAAAAGCTTCCAGCCTCCAATCGTCGTTCAATAGAAAAGGAAGAACAGAGGAGGGAGATTGGCCCCCGGGGATCGTGCTCATGAAGATGCTTTTTCGAGTTGCTTTTTCTTTCTTCCTTTTCAATTCACTCAAGTAAGTTCTGCTTTTTAGCTTTTTGAAAGAAATCGAACTTTACGTGTTATCCTGACAGGCTCACTCGCCTTTTGTTTTTCTCCGATGCTGAACTTGCCCTTTCTGTACCTAAATGCCTGAAACGAGAAAAGTTGGGAGGAAGTGGAGAGGATGAAAGTGAAATCACCAGCAGTTTCTATATGATTATTGTGCTGACCAAAGGCACGAGATAAACCATTCAATAGTCAAGTACACGATCCAATGATTGCATATAGTCCAATCGCGTGCCAACCTTTTCTTGGTTCTTCTAGCCAGTTTTTCCTTCTTGCCTAAGTTTTCGAGCGACGGACGAATTTGCGTTCTCGACGCCAATGGAGTTTATGAGCTGCACAGTGATTATTATGACTGAGGTTCGAGAGGTAAAAGATCGCTCGGGACACTCTATCAAATGACTTACAATGGTATGAACGAGATAAACAAATTCGGGAAAAAAAAGCAAATTTGAATCCGACAAAATTCGAACACCGTACGACGCGAATCACCTCCCTAGTGAATATGTGAGGTGACCCTCAAATCATTGCTTTTCATTTTCGTCTTTTTTTTTTTTTTTCGTCTTTCGCGGCGCGATTCAAACACTCTTTTGAGAGGAAGAGTTGGCCACCCATATAATTCAAAAAAAAAATCCTAAATTGCATTTGTTGTGACACCAATATCCGATATCCCTAACTTTTCTTGGATTTCCAAAAATCCTAAATTATATTCACCGTGATACTAATACCCTAAACTTTTTTTGCGTCACAAAAAATCATAAACTCTGTCGATTATGACACTCGATATCGCAAATTCTTTCTTGTGTCACAGAAAACCTCTAAACTCGTACCAGTGCAACAAAAATACCTTTCGTTAACCACCAAAAACCCTAATACAAGTTTGGGGTAATAGTGACACGAGAAAAGTTTTGGAGTATTAGCATGTGTCGGAAAAGTGGTAGACAAAGGATACTTTTTTGTCACACTGGCATAAATCTGAGGTATTCATGTTATAGTGGGCAAATTTTAGGGTTTTCGAGAGTAGACAAAAGGCATTTTTATTACACCGATACAAGTTCGGGATTTTCCCGGTCTTTTATTTATTTATTTATTTTGGGGGGGGGGGGGGGGTTCACACTTTGATCCTATTGAAATCGCGCGGTCTTGTTATTCTGTCACAAAAACGCGGGGACGATTACCAAAGTGTAGGCCCGCAGGCATTATTATTACGGCCCATTTGAGAAAGCCCACAAATCCGACCCGCAAGGCCCACGACAAAGTCCCGGCGTCTTACGAGATTGGTCCGTCGCGCATCGTCTCCTCCTCCTCCTCCTCCTCCTCCTCCGGCGGCGCTTCCCGGGCAAAAAAAATGCAGACGCAGCGAAAGAGGAAGCTCCAGGACCGCCGCCCGCGCTCAACCTCCCTCCCGAGCAAATCTCCAACACAATCCTCTAAACCCATCCACGACGGCGATCCGTACCAAACCCACCATCGACCCACGCCCGAGGAATGCCGGGCGGTCCGGGACGATCTCTTGGCCCTCCACGGCTTCCCGCGAGAGTTCTCCAGGTACCGAGAGCAGAGGCAACGGAAACTGGGTCTCGTCGTCGAGGACGAAGGCGAGGGTCGCGAACAGAGCGAGGCGGAGACGGCGCTCGCCGGTGAAGAGGAAGCGGAGGAGGAAGAGAGCGTCCTGGATGGTCTGGTGAAGACCGTGCTGTCGCAGAACACGACCGACGTCAACTCTCAGAGGGCTTTCGCTTCCCTCAAGTCTGCTTTTCCCTCCTGGGAAGATGTGAGCCTTTCTGGTTTCTCTTTGAACCCTTCTTTGGCGGTGATTAGCGCTGGAGTTGTCTGATCGGTGCTGTTGGCTTCATGGGTGCGTGTAAAGTTTCAACATTGAGGTGGATTTGATCCGTTGTTGTGTTGATCCAGCGACCGGACTGCTCGCTCAAGTGTTCTTGGGCATGAGCTTTTAAAAAATGGGGTTGAATTTGGACAGTGACCTAGGTTCATGTTTGGGGGTTCCAGTTTGTCCTGATTTTAGTACATGCATCTTTAGATTGCTCCTGAGTCATGTTTCTGAATAGTGATCGTTTTCTTTAAGGAGCGCGGAGTATTTGGATTGATTAGTTTCTCTCAGGAACTTAGTAGTCTCGGCAATTTGTTCAAGAAGAAAATCACTATTGTTCTATATGATTCCATCAGTTTCCCATGAATTTTCTTGTGGATTTTCCAAGGTTCTTGCTGCCGAATCAACATGTATAGAGGATGCCATAAGATGCGGAGGTCTAGCCCCAACAAAAGCAGCTTGCATTAAGAACATTTTGACTTGCTTGCTAGAGAAAAGGGGCAAACTATGCTTGGAATACTTGCGGGATCTCTCGGTTGGTGACATTAAGGCTGAGTTATCCCTTTTCAAAGGCATTGGTCCGAAGACGGTAATTATCCTTTCTTTGTCCATTCTTTAGCTTCTTATGATAATGTTGCTGAGCTCATAAGCGTGAAAAATTTCTGGTCAGCCCATCATAGGATGTCATGGATATTATACTTCAAGGACATGAATATGCCATTTTCAGTTTTTTGAAATGTCTTCATTTCTCCTCTAGCTTGAATTGTCTAACTATCCTATACTAGGAAAAGTGGTTGTAGCATGACCCCCTTCTCTTGGCTCTCGCTGGAAATGATATCAGAGTTTGAGGATGACAGATGTTGTAGTAGGGTTCTCGATTTGATTAATCGGAAATTACCCATTTTCAGTTTCCTGCATCTTATTGCTTTCAAATTTCTCAATGTCATTATTATCCCATTTGTATTACAGGTGGCTTGTGTCTTGATGTTCCATCTTCAGCAAGATGATTTCCCAGTGGATACACATGTGAGTACTTTACATTACACAAGGCAGTCGCTATTTTAGCATCACTATCAAATTTCAATGCTAGGCACACACGTTCAGGTCTTCGAGATTGCAAAGACTATTGGATGGATCCCAACTACAGCTGACAGAAACAAAGCGTATCTCCATCTCAACCAACGGATTCCAAGCGAGCTTAAATTTGATTTGAATTGCCTCTTGTTCACTCATGGTAAGATGTGCCACAGATGCGGCAAAAGAAAGGATAGCCAGCAATGTGGCAAAAGGAAGGATAGCCAGCACAGGGAGGAATCTCCCGGCAAAGCTTGTCCTCTACTGAACTACTGTAAGAATTCATAGCACAAGCCACTTTGCAAATGGCAATCATGGTTTTTCAATCTTTCAATTTCTGTATCTTATGTCTTCCTCTTCATTGACAATGCCTCTTTTGGTTTCACCATGGTTCTTCTTTTTCTCTGAAAGCATGTTTTAGGGCAACATGGTGCTGTTTGTTACTGGGTTTAGGTAGTTTACAAGATCGATTAATTTTCACAAGCATAAGCATGCGTCTTTCGCGAGTCTCCAGGATTTTATAGGTGAAGACTTCACCGTGAAGTAGATATACTACTAGTGGGGAAACAAAAGCAAAAACGCCATGGCTGATGGGTTGCCTGTGACTTTGGACCCGTTAAATTGGTTCAGTTACATACTATCCTCCTTTTTTCTTTTAATAGGAAAAAGGGAATGGATGGGTGGCCATCGCTGGGGACCCCTCTGGCCTCACCACAAGGGTCCTACACCCGTCACAAAATGTACGGATTGAGTCATAGATTCTCACCACCCATGACCCAAAGATCTGATGCCTCCTTTTGCTGAGTCAGTTTTTGGTATAATCTCACCTCCTTAGCTTTACGACTGGACCAGATTTAGACTGTTATGTATATAGCCCATCTATGACCCAAGTTGGCTCGCTCTGAAAGATGGACACATAAAGGCAAATCGGATCTGATCTTGTTCGTGAACGGGTCTGTGCAGCACTGTTCTGCTCTAAAAGTGTTGGTGTATTTTAGGAGAAAGATCTTATGCACTGGTGTGCTACATCTTGCCGATCAGAGTTAAGTTTGGAGAATGTAGAGTTTAAAAATAGATTCGTCATATTTGTAAAACACATTCATTTTACTGTGAGAGAAGTGTTTGGCTTTTTGCAGTGAAACCATTGCTTATAATACTTACTCAATGGGGAAAGCACTGTCGGTTTAAGATCTACCATTCTAGATAGTCGTATATATCACAAGATATATAAAGCCTTTTTGGAATGCTTAACAAATATCCCGATATCACTTTGTTGACAAACTCATTAGAGAAATTAGTCATTCACTCCTCAAATTTTTGTGCCGGTGCTTCACAAAATCTGGAGCTTAAATTGATTGACATCCCAGTGGGGAATTCTCCTTTTCTTTTGCTTCTCAATAGATTTGAATCGATCTGGGCCATGTTTGATGTTCTGTATTCGCTGCAAATCATCGACTCGCATAGAAAAGCCAAGCAAGGGTTAGAATCATGACACCTTTGCCAACTAGAGAACTTCGGAAAATGGATTTCGTTAAGACTGTTGTGAGAGCATTTGTTGAGAAACTAAATAAAAGAAAATCCCTAACTAAGATACTTTTCAACAGAATTATCACATTTGCCAACTAGAGAACTTGATGCAGCCCTTGAAAATTTGCAATCTCAACTTACCTTGTCACAAGTGAAATGAATAGATGTGATCACAGTATCAACCTAGCTTAAAGTTCATTTCTCTTGAATTACCCTTAGAGAAAACGGTTTGGTTTTTTCCTAGTTGGCTAGAATGCAATCTCATGGTTTATGCTAGTAGGTACAATGTCAGTTTTAAACACCGTGATTTATCAAAACCGACTGATAAATGAAGCACTCTGTTTTCTTGATCTTTATGCATTCACGGCTACTCAGAAAATATTCAGATACTCCCATGTATAACAGTGTGAAATCGGTCCCCTCTTTCCTCGGGCAACGCACGCTCCTCTTAACATGTTTTGGGGACCTTAATTGTGTTGCATTTCGTACCTATGTACTCGTGGTTGCAATGCATGCACCTAGACCATGCGACAACAAGGACTTCGCCGAGTTGGTGATGGCGCTCGCCTGCTGAAACTTGAAGAACGTGAAGTGCGCTACGCTGTTAATGGGAACACGGGGGTCCATATTCCGTGCGAAAGCGAAAACAAGCGCATGACATTTGAAGATTTGATTGAATTCTGAGGCAACATGATGAAGGACGCCTTTGTTTAACGGGTATCTTTGTGGCTTGAAATGCCTGAGGTTTCAATCACGTGCGGTCACGGTCGGAGGTTGCCTACTTTTTCAAGCCAAGTGGTCAAGATGTGGTCATGAAACGAGCAAGCAATAAAAAAAGATTCCTTCAAATCTTTTGAGCCGACAGCTCTTCAATGCCCTTTTTGTTTGCCCGAAGCATCAATGTGAAACACACACAGCTTGTACGGTTTCTTTCAATCATATGCTTATGTGGTTACTATTGCAGATGCACGGGAAAAAGAAAATCAAAAGAGGAAATTTTGAATTACTTTGAAAAAATTGAACTTAAAGGAAGGTAAATGCTAGATTTTCAAATTGAAGGGTGTGTTTGTTTGGAATAAAATCATTTCCAAGAAAATGTTTCTAGACTGTTAACTTGTTTGGGTACCAAAAAATGAATTGGACGCCAGAAAATGTTTTTCATCGACCAAAATTGGCATTTTTAAGACTTTGGAAAATGAATTTCCCTTCGAAGAAAGGGAGAATCAATGTCCCCAAAGAGACGCCGATGTGGTGCTGCCAATGCAACGCGACTAAGCCCCTCTCTTTTTCTCTCTACTACAATTACTACTACTTCTTCCCTCTTCGTTTTCATGCTCACAACCCAGTAAGGAAAAATCAATCGCTCGCTTTCCTTGAAAAATGAAGTTTGGGTAAAATCATTTCCTTCAACATAAAGTTTTTCATAAAGCAAAAACACCCAAAGTTAACATTGAGAAGGTGGAAGACATATACAATATTCATTTGATGGTTATTGTTAATCCGACCGTACTTTGAATTGTGATTCTCTTCATTAGGCCGAAGAAATGTACATTCATTATGACTAACAATCTAAGATTGAGAGCCATATCTAGATCATAATATAAAAACGAATGGTGGGCAGGACTACTTTGGAAGTATACTTAGATTTTCAGACTTTAGTGAGTCGAGGCTGTGGATTTGGTTTGACGGCTGGACGGAGGAAGATTCGAGGAAACCAGGGTGACAAGAGGGTGCACTTGCTGAATATGACATTCTACGTGACCCTTTCCTACCAATTGAGATAGTGACGAATTGTAATCTTTAACTAGTTAATTTGGCAACATAATATTTGTCTAGATCAATGACTTGTCAAGCTCATCCTTTCACCATTTTGTTCGAGCGAGATGTAACATGCTCTATGATTGATTTTTCTGGGGTCCTACCTCAATGATGAGAAATTGCTAGGACACCAATTATTGTAGGACCGATGATGTCGAGAACCCGCTAGCTCCTCCTTATAAACCCTTCGTTACAAACTCTTGAACCTGCAAAAATCACTCGAAAAGAACAAGAAAGGTAATATCTATGTTCTTTAATGTCATTTATCTAGCTGAGGATTGATTGATGCGAAGACACTACCATATGGTTCCAATTATATCATGTCATTGCTCCTCGTGACCTACATTCGTACATTTGTGTGGCTATGCTGGGACAAGATTCTTATCTCACGAAACATCCTCTGACACTAGTGTCACATGTGGTTAGGCGTGTGTGATGCAAAATTTCCATATTCTAACATCGTGTTTTCCTGCCGAAGCGTTGAACCCACTAATAATTCAGACTTTAACGGATCTTGCAAATACAGATTTTAAGGGAGCCCATGGCCGATGTTTTTCACGCTTTGATTGGACAATATCTCGATTACTTCTACTACCCGTTATACCATTCCATCACCTTCCAAGCTTGGTGAAAAATCGAACTGATTTATGCCGAGATGAGTGAATTTCAAGAATCACTTCTAAAATTCTTGAGATCTAAATCAAATGAATATGCAATTTCAATCTTCAAACTTGGCTAATTGTTGGGTCTTGACGGCGCATTAGTTCACACCTACAAAATAATAATTCTTTTTTGTAAAAAGAAAAAAAAAGGGGGGCGGATTATGAAATTATATTTCTCTAAACCGATCCATCAACGGATACTACCTACCTAATCTAGGTGATCAGATCAAAGAGTAGGCGGTCAAGAAATATGCAGTCACAGAAAGGTTTGTCCTGATTAGCAAATCCAGCCTCCCGCGCTGTTGAGCTTGACAGTTTCCCGGAAAGAGCAGTCGTGTTTTTAATTCGATTTGTCGTGATTAAGTTGTTAACCCCAAATTAGTGTTTGGTATACCGACTTCTTTTGATAGAGAGAATCTTCCAATTTTTATTCGCGATGTATTAATGGGAATCTTAATCAATGACAGTCTAATCGATAGGAGATGCACGCTTATATTAAGTTCTCTGAAGGCGAAAATGAATTTTGCTATGTGATCCGTTTGTTTAGTGGAAAAGGGACGATTTGAAAAAGATTTTCCAAAAAATGATTGGTTATTTCGCTTATAAATATGAATAAGCGAAAAATATTTTCATCGTCCACAAAAGTATTTATATGTAAATTGTTGTTGAAATTGGAAACATTTTTCATTGGCTATTTCTTTCAAGCAACACAAACGACCATTTTTTGGAAAATATTTTTCATATTTTTCATTTTCCACGAAACAAACGGAATCAAAAGTAACTTTGTATTTAAAAGTCGATAAACGAAAAAAATAATATTTCTTAACGTTCAAATTGACCAACGAAAGTCTCTAATTTACACGGTCCTGGGATTAGTCCAACACTCAAACCCCTCGGCACGCCTTATTTTAACGTGCCGGGGCTCGCACATCTCATACTCTCCAATTTTCTACCGATCTTTATCTTTTTGGGAGAGAGGAAATACCGTCTACTTGTTTTATATCTTGAGGACTTCGAGGCACGAGCTTACCTGAAGATGAAGCGTATTCAGGGGTTACGCAGTTACTGTAAAAAAGAAAGTTTTTGAATCGCTCTGCAGTTGTCCCCAAGGAGGCGTTTTGCTGGTCGGGCTATTTAGAAATGTTCTTTTTATTTTAAATCCTAAAAGACTACTAATTCTTTCTACTTTATGATTTTTTTCAAACTCAAAAGAGTAGTGGAAACAGTTACGTAAGCTTTTTAGATATCAATTGCAAATTGAAATACGTTTCTATAAGTTCCGTGCCAAAGTGCGTGATTCGTAGAGTTTTCAAAACAGAAAAAGCCGAAAATACAAGTCACTCAAAACATGTAAAATCATGCAATGATTACTTTTGTG